GAAGGACGGGCTGGCGGGCGCTAACCTCGCCCGTTCTCCCCGCGTCGGGCTAAGGGTGGTGGCTGTTTCCGCTGTGAGCGGCTCCCGCCTGGCCTTTCTTTGAGGTGGAAAAGGTCGCTGGGCTGAAGGGACCGGCGCGTCAGAGGCGCGCAGTGTAGGGAGGTCGGGGAGGAATGGAAGAGGCCCCGGGAAATTAGCTTCCCCACGTTGGGTTGGGCTGCCCTCTCGGGCAGGGGAGGCTTTGTAAAATAATTCGCTTTACCTTCGAAAGCAAAGGGAAGACGGGCGGCAGCAAGGGAGAAGGGAAAGCAACGGTGGAAGGTCTCCCGATATGAAGTGCCCCACCAACGCAGGCAGCACCATATCTGGGCATGCAACAAAAGTACTTCCTAAGAGGCCGGCCTCCGCTCGCACCGCCTCCAAGTGGGGGGGTCGTCTTATACGGCAAGTATATAACAAACTCTATATTTTGAGTGGAAATGTTGGGGGGTCGTCTTATACGCCCAGTCGTCTTATACGCCGGCAAATACGGTAGTTACTCTGCATGTAACTTGAAATGTTGACAAGACCAGAGGAATTCTTATAATCTTATCAATTAGAGGCATTCTTAACTGCCCATTTTAAACATGATTTACTGTTATGGAGAAATACCATAAAACCTCTAAGCAAAAATGTGTGTGTGTGAGGGGGAAGATTGAAGAATTTACCTCCCGGTTTAATCACACCAGAAGTTTTCATTTTTTCCAAACTGGGTACTTCAGCCTTCACATCATTTTAAAATAATTAATTAAACATGGCTTCTTTGGACAATTTTAGCTTATCTGACCTATTCATTTATATATAATGAAAAATTAGGTCATTTAAAAGTAAGAAATTAATTAGTTTATGATCCTTCTCCAGTTTATTGTCTGTAGATTTAAAAACAAAATCATCTGTGTGACAAGAAAACAATAAAGGATGTTTGAAAAATTATTACATATGGAAACATTTATGTATAGGAAAAATTGCAACCAGCATTGAAATTACTTGATTACAATTTTTTGACCTTTATTGCAGAATCATTTATCAAATCACTACATCTGTTAATCAAATCCATAGTCTTATGCAAATCCATTGTTTGCTATGGTACACTTTCCATAAACCCCAAGCTTCTGCAAAAACATCAAAAGTCATCATGTGACTACAGAATGTGTCAAATTATAAATGCAGGCCACATGACAAGTGCCCAAAATAGTCACATGACTGCAGGTGGCCATCAAACATTGGAACTGGGCTATAAGTATCTTCTGAGTGGGGGGTCCATCATAATTTTCAATAGTCACTAAGTCAACTTGTGGCTACTTTTTGAGAAACAGTAATATGGGAGTAAATCCAATGCAGGCAACTTCTGCCTCCGATCTTTAAATCGTGCATTTCCAAATTACATTAAATTAAAATCTGCTTCCCTTGCCACATGTTCTTAACCTGATTTACCTCTTTCAAGTCCTGCAAAATTGCTGTCAGTCGTTCATTCTCTGCTTGAACGTTGGTAACCACAGTTCTACTTTGCTTCAGCTCATTCTGCATTTCCAAAATCTTCCCAAGGTAGTAAGCTTCCTTTGATGCCGACTCCTGAAGGAGTGTCTCTTCCCTGGTCTCACCATCTTCAGCTACTTTACGGTGGACTGAGAATGAGTGTCCAAATGCCTGCAGGATTAAAATAAGAGCCCCGTTAAATAAATAAGTAAACCTACAAGCAAACTGGTAGTTCTCTATTTATGAATTTCTGCTGCTAACCAATAAAGTTGTTGAGGCAGAACATAAAGAAGGATATAAAAGACTGTTCTTTTGATAGTGATATGTGTGTATTAAAGAAATGAAAAATGTCAGATTATAGGTTCATCTGTTGGTCACTCACTCATATTTGTCAAGCAGGAAGGTTTGTTATAGATAACCTTGCAAAAAAACCACAAGCGTACTGCCGGAAACTAGAAGCCATGGAAATTCACCTTTGACATAAATTAGTGAGAGGGGAAGGTATTTTGTTACTCTAGCCTAGCAACAAGGGGCTGGGTTTCAAGTAACCAATGGATGAATGACAAGTTACATTTCTGTGGTTTAGTACTTCTGAAGTGTATATATGAGAGTGTAAAATCTATAGGAAGTTGTTCAGATGTTGCTTTGGCTAAATTGCTCTGAACCTTTGTGCAAATAAAATTATTTCTGATTCCAAGGTCTGAGTCTTGTAATTTCCTGCAACAAAGTGAGCTGCACCTGATTTTACAATCTTTTTTGCCACCATTCTTTTAGTTTACTTTAGTTTAGTTTACTTTACTTTATTTTACATTACATTACATTACATTATTGTCATTGCACCTCGTAGAACAAAATCAAACACCATCTTCAGTGCACATCAAGACCATGACCATGAAAATAAACACAAACACACATCCTTCACCCTTCACACATTGAACCAGAAACCCCCGACACCATACCAACACTGCACTATACAGTAGAATTCAACAAAGCTACTGCCCTGGGATAGAAGCTGATTTTCAGCCTATTTGTCCTTGTTTTTATTATTCTGTACTGTCTGCCAGATGGTAATAGTTCAAAAAAAGGGATCCTAGGATGAGAGGGATCTTTGAGAATGTTTTGAACTTTCTTAAGGCAGCGGGAGCTATAAAGCTCTTCCAAAGAGGGGAGAGGCAACCCATGATCTTCTGGACAATGATGTTAAGCTTTTGATTCACTTTAAATTCTTAAGTAAATCACTGTGGTTAAATGAATCATAAGGTCATTAAGCTAATGTGGCTTCCTCCATTGGCTTTGCTTGTTGGAAGCCAACTGGAAAGGTCGCAAATGATGATCATGAGACCCTGGAACTCTGCAACTGTCATAAATTCATGCCAAAGCATCCAAATTTTTGATCATATAGGGATGCTAATAGTCATAAGTGCAAAGATTAGCCATAAGTCCATTTTTTCAGTGTCATTGTAACTTGGAATGGTTGTAGGTCAAAAACTATATTTACACCTTAGAGTCGTGTTAACTATTTTAAAAGAAAGTAGATAATGTAGTCATAAACTGTAGGAGCTATTAAGACCAGGACAAAAAAAAATGTTGAATATTAGCAACAGTTTCACTAACCAAATTCCTCTAAATTTGGGCAGGTCAGCAATAATAGCAATAGCACTTAGACTTTATATTGCTTCACGGTGCTTTACAGCTCTCTCTAAGCCAGGGGTCACCAACCTTTTGGACCTCAAGGACCACCAAACTCATAATTTTAGATCCCAGAGACCACTAACCGGTTCTGTGGGCGTGGCATAATTTGTGGGTGTGGCTTGGTGGTCATGTGACTGGCTGGGCATGGATTGTATGTAAATATTATATTTATATGAATATTGATTTTTTAATAAAAAAAGAGCAACTTTTACCCAAAATCAGGCAAAGGAGGAAGATTGAGTTGCTCACAGAATCACAGAATCGCAGAATCAGATTCATTCAGAGATCTATCTATCTGCCATTGGCTAGCTCAGTCTGTCACATAAAATTTGCTTGCAAGCAAACTCACAAAATTAACTCACAACACACCATGTATGTAAATATTGAATTTTTTATTAAAAAAGAGCAACTTTTACCCAAAATCAGGAAAACAGGCAGATTGAGTTAGCTCAGTCTCTCAAATTTGCTTGCCATGAGTCTGCACTGAATTTGCTTACAAGCAAACCTTCAGTCCTAAGGGAGGTTCGGCTGTGCTTAAAAGCACAGCCAAAGATCTAAAGACTAGCAAGAAAGCAAGAAATCCAACCATTTCCTGCTTCCTAGGTAATCTAAATCTCCCGGCACAGCAGAACAGATGATGGTTGGAAAAAGGAAAAATAGCAATTTAGCAGGCACGTTTACCGGGTAAGGAGTGAGTGGGTTCCCGTGGGCCATGTGGGCGGCACAGCCTTGTGTTTCTGCACAGTCTGGATTAATTGCTTTGTGGGGGTGCTCTGGGGGTGAGATTTCTCTGTGGCCCACCAAAATTTTCTCATGGCCCACCAGTGGGCTGCAGCCCACCGGTTGGCGACTGCTGCTCTAAGCAGTTTACAGAGTCAGCCTATTGCCCCCAACACTCTGGGACCTCATTTTACCCATCTGGGAAGAATGGAAGGCTGAGTCAACCTTGAGCCTGGTGAGATTCGAACTGCCAAATTGTAGGCAGCCGGCAGTCAGCAGAAGTAGCCTGCAGCACTGCACTCTAACCACTGTGCCACTGCCGTGGCTCTTACTCCCATAACTGGCCATATCAACTGGATGTAAGTACTAACAATAAAAATTCAAAGGGCCACAACTTCATCGTTCTGTCTAAAGTGGTCTCTTGCATTCAGCTTTGTCCTATGTTGCTAACAAGAGCAAATTAATCTTGTATAGTGGAACCTCGGGTATTGACCATAATCCATTCCAGTGCTACGGTCACAACCTGATTTGGTCATGACCGGAAGCATGACCAACAGCACATGCACGGATGGACTATGCATGTGCAGAAGGGGAAATTGCTGCAGTAAGGGAATCTGCCGCAGCCAGGTTTGTTTGCCATCCGATTTTTGAATTGACCCAATTCAAAAACTGGGTGGATTTTTTGGTCGGAACCTGATTTGGTCACGAACAGAAGCATTCATCACCCAAGGTTCCACTGTATGTTGCTTCTGCTTAAATTACACTAGGAATTTGAAACCTTTTACTGCCATTAAGGTCCACAGAGGAAAAACAAGTCCTAATCATTGGCTTCATTGGTGTGATCCATCTAGAATCTTGGAGTTCAATTTCCAAACTTTAAAGCACACACAGCAACTGGATTCAGATAAGGCAGGGGTGTCAAACTCGATGTCACTGAGGTCCACATCAGAGTTGTGTTTGACCTCGGGGAGCTGGGGTGTGGCCAAGGGTGTGTGGCCAGCTCAACGTCACTCGTGTTGGGGGCGCCTGTGGTGGCACCGAGTGCCTGAGCTCCGTTTTTGGCTGCAACAATCTCCTGAAACCCTCTGCCAATGAAAATGGAGCTCAGGAGGGCCACATATGGACCGGTCCTTTGCTGTTTCCAGGTTGGTTCCTTGGGCCAGATCAAAGCACCCCAAGGGTCAGATTTGGCCCGTGGGCCTTGAGTTTGACACCCCTGAGATAAGGACACCTAAAATATCCAATGTCAGCAAGCAGACTGGATGTTAATTTTAAAACAACAGATGCCATTTTAAATTTTAAAAAAATATTAATTGTTTCTCCAGCAAAACATCAGGTTGTATGTCTATATATAAGCAGCAGTGATTCTCAGTCATCCAGGTCATGATTGTCCCAAACGGTTGGGATAATCTGGCTATCCGGGGACACACAGTATTGATGAGCAGCATTTTATTTCACGATTAATTATGACCATAAAATTAAATATAACTTTATGGCATTGTTTATTATTTAAACAAAGTTCTCTCATAGATTTTATAAAATACAAATGAAAACAAATGAAAAGCGGCACCATAAAAGCTAAACGAATCCAATAAAAAATATTACATTTTATTTTAATGTACAGCACATAAAGCCACAGTAAAACTAACAATTGATCAACGAGCATAAAAGGTAATTAAGATGAAACCATTATAAAAGCATAAACATCTTGGTTATTTGCATATGGATAAGACTTTCAGTATGATCAAAGAGAGTCCCACAATATGCATGGTTTAGAATGGATGACATCATTTGTTCAATACTCAGACAATGTTGACTGAATAATTATACAACAGAATAGTTATTCATCAAAAGAAATCAGTTTAAAAAAAAGATCCTATAGTCTTTATATTTGTGTCAGAAGGATGAGAGTCTATTCTTTTCTCTGTTCGTTCCAAAGCTGAGAATCTAATAGAAATCAGCAGACAGTCAGTGGAGAGTCTAAATATATTTATTCACCCAAAGTGGCTTTGAGTTGGAGGTGGTTTTCCCCATTTTTTTCTTTTAGTCAAAATTTAGCCAATCAGAATGCATCGCTTATCTCAATACTTTTTGGTCTACCAGCATGAACATTTGGTCTGCATATCCTGTTTCTCTTAGCATGGACATTTTGGGGGGGTATCCTGTTTAAATGTTTTCTGATCTCAAAACTACACCAACCTTCCTTATTTGTGATTAGCAGAATCTCTTATCTATAGCAAAAACACGAATGGGCATTTTACCCTCCCTCTACATGCATTTTTCTACAGGAAAAGGAAAAAATGTGTCTTCCGTTGTTCGATGATACATACATTTGTCTATTCAGGAACCAATTACTGACAGGAAGCGTCATTATTGTTATATAAGATACAGATCTTCCTTTCCTTGTTGTAAACATAATCCAATAGCAGAAGGCCTAAAACTTTCTCAGCTTGTACACAGACTAGAATAAAAAAACATCAGAATTGGAAGGGACCTTCTAGGCCAGGGGTGTCAATTTCAAGGCCCAGGAGCTGGATCAGGCCCACAGGATGCTTAGATCTGGCCCACGGGACCATCTTCAAAATACTGAAGGACTGGCCCATGGTGCCTCTGCCTCAGGCTCCCAGACTCCCGGACTCCGTTTTCGCTGCCAGAGGGCTACCGGAGGATCCTTCCAGGCCCGTTCGAGCCACCACAGGTGCCCTCAACATGAGCGATGCCAAGTTGGCCATGCCTATCCAGCCCCCAAAGGTCAATGC